GTAACAAACAGACAAAGAATGGGTCAAATTTTTTTCATAAAATGTTAAATCAACCATTTTGTTACGCAGTTTTTGATGCTCTTACCATTGATATGTTTAAAAAAAGTTTGCATCCATTTATTGCCGAGGTACAGAGTTTAATCTGAATTTTTATCTTCCGTTTCTCTATAGAAAAAAACGGAAGAATTATTCTTCTCTTCGGTCTTTTTTCTCGTTCTGTCTGTGGAAGCTATATGTGCAATTCCAGTATGTTACAGGCACACTGAATAAGCCGTTTTTAGTGTGCAAAAACTGTCCAGCGTGATGTGCACATCCAGTAAACCCGGGCAAACTTTATTTTTTACAGTGTATACATAACCCGGCAGAAAAGATAAATGAAATGCTCAAAAATCCTTGAGCATTTACGTTATCTCTAGAAGCCACCACCAGGATATATATATACCAACATCCAGTGACCTTAAAAACACAACTATTTGAATTAAACATTCATTTTTTCAAAAATTAGCTAGAGAAGCAGAGCATTTAAACACTTTCGAGTATTGTACCTCAAAAGTAATGCTATACGTGACATTGAGGTAATGGAGATTCCTCATTCTTTGTCTATAACAAACACTCCGTTATCATTCATGTATATTCTTCCCATTCAACGTATAGGTATATGAAAAATTGCAGTGGCTATCTTAGAACATAAATGGCTTCGACGATTCAGTTCCGTATCTTTGTCTCACACGTTAAATCAGATCTCAAAGATTTATGCCTTTTTCTAATATGTTCTGTTTACGATGAGCGCGTTGGTTTTGGGATGGTTTGTCTACAACCCAGTAATTGATTATTTAATAGAATATGCCGTCTGGCGTCATAAGCAACTTTAGCCAAAAAAAACGACCTAAATGCATCATTCTTACCCGACACAGAGAATCAGAAGCTGATCAAGGCATGGCTGTTTACTAACGTAAGCGAGATAGTTTGATGGAGCTTACCCATGCTGGATTTCAACAAGCCGGTCACTCTCCAAAAACTTGTTTGTGATGAAACCGTCTTATTTTCCGTGCCACCCTATATCGATACAAACGTTTGAAAGTCTTGCTCAAGCATTCGATCCGAAACAAATTTTTGGTATCAAAGAAGATTCACGTATTCGTGAGCAAGACTGGGGCAATTTTTGTGACACGACTATTCGAAACAAAGAAATGAGAGATGGTGAAATAATGAACGAGTTTTTCTTTCGTTTTCAAAATGGTGAAAGTGAAGCAGACGTTTTCGACCGGCACAGTCTCTTTTTGCTTCTCTCTATAGAACTAACTGTAACTAACTAAAAACGACTTCTTCTCCCACTTCTGCTAGGGTAGTCACTTTATCAACTATGATCGACAAGTATACCATAAATAAAATATTTGCTTACAGATCGAAGTGTGAATAAGGTATTGTTTCAAGTACGAACTACTTACTTTGTAGATTGCAGCAAACACAGTTTGATTTGATATAAACTGTTTTCAGGATGAAATTAACTTGTTTGATCTGGAAAGCACGTTCTTGCAATACCTTTTAATTTAATGTACTCAAAACTATTTTAAGAAACACATAGAACAAAATTTGTAAAACTGAAACAATGACGCATTCGTCTAATTAAATAGACCTTAAAAGGGTTAGTTGATCTTTCATGTTAACATTATACAGTCAAAACTCATATAAATGGAAGATGGAAGCTATCTTTTCTCAATTTTATTGCGTAGGATCATGACAAAATCGCTGTAAGATCACTGCTAAATTGTTATAAATCCTTGTCGAGAGTTAATCGCAATCTTACCGCGATCGCACCCCACTTTTGAAACACAAATTGAAACGGGATTGCCTAACGAATTTGATCAAGAACGCGAACACAATTATAAGACCGCGATTTTATTTTGCCAAGAACAGCATTATTTCGTTACATGGGAATAAATCGTGTTCGCGATCAGTTCTCAGCAAGAATGAAGCCGGAATACCACTATGGTCATCTCGGATACATTGTGGTAACTAAAACAGATCGCGAACGTCAAAACGCTTCGCTACATTGGGATATATAAAGTAGGAATATATCTCGATAATAATTTTTATATATGGGCATCTCGATGAACGATGACTCATCGATGTATCGCACCACTTATGAGACGAGTTCACCGTGTTAACATTCATATCGCAATGTAGCGGTCGCCCCCTGAAATATTATGACACCGGAGTTTATCTGGATAAGAATAAGTTTATCGCCATATTTATTAGTTTTCCTTCTTTTATCGGGATATATTACTTTTTTTCTACACTTTTATCCTCATAGGTAGCTTTTCTCTTACGAAGTTGAAGCGTTTAACTATGACCACAGTAGACATATTTGATAGACTTCAATTAAATGAGGATTTAACCATGTTATTCGACGTTGTGAGTGTTGTAATTGATGAATAATTTCTGTAAAACCTTTATCACCGCTAACGATCGTGAAAGGTATCGATTTTGGCAATAGAGCATGTAGTTTGCCAAACTAGATGAACAGAAGTAATGATAATCTAAAAACTTTTATAAAGCAAATTTACATACGGTTAGAACGAGTGCAAAATCAGCAGCATCATGACGTTGTCCACTTTGTTTCATTAATTGAAAATTATGAGACGATAGTAAACTTCTATATACAGGATCACTAAAAGGATTTCGAATAATATAGCAGAGATGTCCATTTTTATCTTTATTAGGTTTTTTTATTAATGTATTAGATAGTCTAATCGTAAATTATTACCAGTAACTGTTCTTCTGAACAACTGTGGGCGAAATAGAAATTTGAAGTTAATAAACATACTCAGTTGGCGTTTTCCATTGGTGTTTCCCTCCACTAAATCCAATCACAAAAATATTTTCTGGTAATGCATTTGGTAAACGTTGAAAAAATACCGACCAATTATCTAGATCGACAAACAGAATGTGTTTCATTGTATTTAAACGATCAATATTTTCCAAATTTAAACTATCTTGTCCGCTATCCACACGGGCAACTGTTGTTGTTAATGATGATAGTGATGGTTGAAAATCTTGTTTAACTGTTAATAATAAATTTTCTAATTGTTGTTCGAGAGTAAGTGATGTGGCACAGACTTTCTCTTCTTGATCTTTGCAGCTGTATTCCTCAATCTCCTCGTTAATATAATCAACATAATTTTCGTCTTCAACTGTACTCAGTTCATCGTCCGCTTCATTGCCGGGAGTATTGCTGATAGTCGTTGCTGATAGTATTGCTGCGCCTAATGAAGGGCGACAAAGACGAAAAACGATCTATTGAAAACTTTGACGAAGTTTCTAGTTTAAATATACCGATATTATTATGATGTTCTTTTTACAACATTAGATTTGTAATATAAACAACCTAAATGCTCAAAACTTACTCTTAACATTAATCCAGTTTGATACTAAACTTTGATGCAATGCTTGATTAATTAACTTTCTGCCAATAGGTGTCGTTTGACGCTTACTTCTTCTTCGTGGTTTTGTACATCCTTTACCTCTTATTCGATTACGCTTAAATTTCGTCCGTTTTGATTTTTCAATACTTCGTATTTCTCGTAAAAACGATGATGATTGTTGGTGTTGTTGTTGATCGTCGGATGCATCTGAACTTGATCGTCTTGAATCCATATTAGTATTTTGTGGTACATAACGTTTGACACCATTGACTGTAGACAGTGAAAATAAACTAGTCCTTTTAACGTGGTCTGTTTTTGAAATTATTTTGTTTTGTTTTAGACGAGATGAAATGGGAGCCATAACTGGCGTAGTTTGCGTACTACATGATGAGTACGATAGAGGAATGAAAGCCAAGTAAATATAATAAATGTGTATAGGAGTGGAGATTCTTTTCGAACAAAATAAGATTATATATTTAAAATGATATTAGAGTAAAACAAAAATCATGAAAATCCATGCAGAATAAATATACAATACAGAAATACAATTCAATATTTATTTTTCGTAAAACAAAACATAAAAAGTTTTCTATGGCAACTTTTCGTGATGTTTACAGCCATCATCCTAAACTAAGCTTTTAGACGCTTATATCATACAAGCCGTACATGAAACTATTCGCAAATCACTCTGGCATACTGTGGAACTAGTATACAAAGAATTTGGCTGAAACACACACAGACAGCAGTAACTCATAAACGAAATTTTGCATACGGAATGATCACTATAGTCAAAGTACTTTTCGTCATAAATATACGTCTGATCTCCACTTTTTACGAAAAATTGAGAACCCATCAATTTTCTCATTCATAAACTTGTGAGTACTTGGGTTATATAGTCTGAGCTATTAAGGCTGTTTGATAATTATATAGCCGATTTATTTTATTCATTCTACACCGTACAAATATTCAGTTCTTCGTTTGTTTCGGATAGAGAACTCGTTTTGAGATCGTCAAAAAACGCAAACGTAGATTTCAGGTTTTTAAAAAGCTCATATAGTTCTTCAGTTTTTCAGAGGAGCTTTAATAACTTTTTGGAAAGTGGGAAAACTCATGTTCGTGAAAAGTTATGTATTGATTTTCTCTCTTTTATAATCCAATTAACGTTGCTCAACAAAGAGGAAAGGGCAAATACTAAGGCTTC